CATATATAATTTACTGTTAATGTTTATATTCTACCATGAATACATATCACTGGGTGGTTCCCGATAAACTTCAGCTTCAAAGAACCCAATGAGCGAAGACTAGTTAAGACCAAGAAAAACAATATTCAAGATCAAGAATAGAAGAACAGAAGATAATTAGTTTTTTATATAGAACTTATATACATTTATTGTCTTTGCATTCTTTTTTTTTTTGTATAGATGCATATTTCGGATTATTTTCTTATGACTTTTGTATATATAAATTTATGGTTATGTAATTATTCAATAAAGAATCTCATATGTCATTAATCTTAATCAAATGATTTTATATATTTTTATATTCTATTAAGAATCTACATTGTTAATTGAGATTTAGTTAGTATATAATGCATATTCTAGTATGAATAACAATTGAGATTTAGTTAGTATATAATGCATATTCTAGTATGAATACAACCTAAAAATTCAAGTTGCAACTTGAAATTTCAAAATATATATTTTTTAAATTTCAATTTTTAAAATTTTGTAATTTTAAAATCTGAAATTTAATATTTCCTAGATTTTCTCTTATTTCCAAGATTATCACATATTGTAATTACCCTTTTACCCTTATATAATTATTAATTTAATTTTTAATAATATTCTTTACAGAATTGCCAAAAAAATATTGATCAATCATAACCGTCAAATATTTTGTTTTAATGCTCCAGATTTGTCCTCACGTTCTCATTTTATTTGGTGTCCTCACATGAACTATCCCCTGTATATATATATATATATATATATATATATATAAATATATATATATATATATATATATATATATATCACCCATCATAATTTTTTTATTTTTCTAAGAAATAATGACTTAAAAATGTAATGTACTTTTTGATTTGTAAATATTTGGTCAATGAGTTTTTTTGGTCCGTATTTGATCATTTAACTTGATTTTTTTGTCCACATTCAATCTTTATAATCTGCTACTCCATGTTAAGCCGGAAAAATGACATAATAGAGTTAATATATTTTTTCAGTTTGTACACATTTAGTCCTTAATGTTTTTCACACATTTGGTTCTTGTGGTCGGTTTCTTTAGATTTTGTTCACGACATCCTAAATGAGATAATCATTAATGAAGTGTTCTCATATGTGGCTCGCGTTTCACATATATCAGTAACTTAATTCACAAATCGGTCAAATAATGTTGATGCCCTAGTTTTCTCCAACCAGAAGATGTCTTAGGCATTGGTTTCGTCTATCTCCATAGCAGACAACGAGATATTATCCTTTTAAGTCATTATCCATTTTTCTAACGATGATTGTATTCATACTTCCCCGTTAATTAATATACATTTCTATTCTAATTTTTTGATATTTATTTTACTAAAAACACCCCTAATTACTTAAACCGTGAAAAACCATTGTGTTCATTGTCTAATTAGTCTCACACTAAATCTCATAAAAGAAAACCTAACACTCCAATCACAAGCAACAAACTATCCTAAGTCCTAAACTAAATCCGTCAACAAGTATTATCTCAATCATATCATATCATACTATATTATAAAGAAAGCATTTTTTTCCTTTCACCATATTCATTTGAAACTCTAATGTATTTTTCCTTTCACCACATTCATTTGAAACTCCCATGACTTTTCAATTTCTTTCTAATAATAATTATAAGTTGGTTAATAAGGTTAAATAAATATCAAACCTAAAGTGTAATCATATATAAACTAAATTTCAATATTAAAATAATATCTTTACTTCTACTTATACAGTTATGTTTTGTTAACTTTTAACATATTATACTTAATTTATTAGTTTTAATATATTGTTGGATGTAAATCATTATCAATTTAAAGATATAATTTTGGAACAATTTGTATATAATAGTTAAATTATTAGTTTAAATATAACATTATAGGGTCAACTTAAATATAAATTTTAGTTTAAGTTAAACAACCCAAAGAATATTTTGTAAATAGTTAAAAGTGATTAATTATAGTGTCTTTCTAATAATGGTTATAAGTTGGTTAATAAGGTTAAATAAATAACAAACCTAAAGTGTAATCATAAATATATATTAATTTCAATTTTAAAATAATATCTTTACTTCTACTTATAAAGTTATGTCTTTAACTTTTAACATATTATACTTAATTTATTAGATTTAATATGTTGTTGTATGTAAACCATTATCAGTTTAAAGCTACAACTTTTGAACAGTTTGGACAAAATACTTAAATTGTTAATTTAAATATAACATTACAATGTCAACTTATATATAAATTTCAGTTCCACTTAAAAAACCAAGGAATATTTTGTAAATAGTTAAAAGTGATAAAGTGTAGTGATAAATGCAAAAACTAAATTGTAATCTCATTTCAACCAAAATATTTCCTAAAGATATTTATAATCATTAAAAATTTTCAAATAAGTAGCTTAAAATAAATTACAATAACAATAGTTAACAATAACTTTATATAAATGATTATAACAACAACTATAAATAACATTAAACTATATATTATATTTAATTTTATGCATGTGTAACTCGTGGATAGAAGTCATTCAAGCGAATGAAATTATGCGGTTATAATAGATGTATATATTATCGTATAATTCGAAATAATCAATATATTATATCAATTTAGTATATATGAATAATTATATCAAATTTAACAACATCGTTATTGTTATATTTAAAAAAACATATATTTGTAAACACTTCAACTATATAGGCGTTTATGCGCAACGTGCGGGCATTCGCCTAGAATATGATATATATATGTGATCATATTATATTTAATTTTATTCATGTGTAACTCACGGGTAGAAGTCATTCAAACGATTGGGATTATGCAGTTATAATAGATGTATATATTATCATATAATTCAAAATAATCAATATATTATATCAATTTAGTATATAAATTATTATATCAAATTTAACAACAACATCATTGTTATATTTAAAAAAAAAAAACATATATATATATATATATATATATATATATATAAAGACTTCAACTATATAGGTGTTTCTGCGCAACGCGCGGGTATTGACCTAGTTCAATATAAATTCTATGCAAACCCTTTACACGCTCACGCACCATCTTATACTCCAAAAAACGTCTTATGGTCAAAGCAACTAATCAAGGAAGCATGTGGGAAATCCCTTTTATTGGATAAACATATAAATAATTTCCATGCAAAATCTTCATACTAAAAGTTAAATAACAATTAAATCCCATTACCAAATCATTCCTACCCATTTCCTAAATCGAAAATCCCATCACGTAATGCTCATAATCGAACCTTTAGTCACCATCCGCATGTCAATAGCCACCAGACCAGTCCATTTGGGGAGACAAAGAAGAGGATGAATGGCATGAGGTTCGATCAAGAAGAAGATACAAATAAAAACCACACTGCCTTGTCAAACACACAACTGAATTGCTAGAATCACAACCACATAATTTATCTTCAATCTACGAGTGGTATGCACTAACGCAAGAATTTGGAAAAGCTTTCGGGATTTTGGCCACCTTGTAGATGCATATATTAATATTATGCGAACAATTTTTTCTTTTATTAGATTGCTAGAATTCCGGGATATTAGTATATTTGAGGTTAAACTCAATGAAGTCAATATTGATGCGTCCAAGTTATCAGCTAACATAGCCAAATTAGGCATTGATGCGTTCAAGTTATCAACTAGCCAAATTAGACAGATGTCACAGGAACACTATCCTAATATCTAAGAGTCAGAAAGATAAACCATTTGGAACAACAAGAACAATGAGACTACCCATGTAGACATACAACCTATACATGAATACTCGCGCCAAAAGAACAAGAAACGGATCCATTTAACAACGTATACCTCACCTTGTCTTCAAGTTTGGAGTGTTTAATAGGGAATGAACTATGCTATCTACTAGAAAACATAATTTTATTGATGTTTAATAAAGAACCAACAATACACCTACTAGACAATGTATAGTAAAGTTATGGGGGGTATTTCTCATCAAATGAAAGTCCTCCCCTACTAAATAAGACACTTCTAAATTGTTTTTGGGTTGATTTTAGTGGCTTCATTTGCAATAAATGACGATCAATCCATCAAAAGAAAATTCATGTTCGAAAACAAGCCTTTATAAAATTTTGACGGGTTATAACTTATAACATCCAAATGAATGACTAATAATAATAATAAGGTTCTCATTATAAGTTGTATGTTTGTTTTCTTTAACTTATAGCATCCAAATGAATGACCAATAATAATAATAATAAGGTTCTCATTAGTTGTATGTTTGTTTTCTTTAACTTATAACTTATAACATCCAAATGAATGACCAATATGAATAATAAGGCCCTCATTATATAAGGCTCTCACTATATGTTGTATGTTTGTTTTCTTTAACGTTTTCCTCCTAAACACATAGTAATAGTAAACACATAAACACATAGTAATAGTAAACACATAGTAATAGTAAGAGGGGACGCATAGATCCCGTAATTGGTATTGACATACTCATATGTTGTTATGTTGTATGGAAAGACAATCATATCCATATCAAAATAAATGATCAACAATTCAAAAGAGGCAAATAATCAAATTGCAAAAATCACACAAGTAACTAAAGACCTAATCTCCAAACACTTTGCATTGTTGCCATATAGTTCTTTAGCGACAACCACTCATAAACATACCTACATGGTTTAACACTACGTCCAAAACAAACAAAAAATAACCACTCACAAACATAAAACAATAAAAGTGACTCGTATTCTTTGGAATTATATTTCATTTCTTAAGAACCATTCGAATATATCATAAATGCTATTCCCATTCCCAACTAATAAAGTGTGCACACAAATGTTTATTGATGACGATGGACAAGAAAAGACATTTCCTCGTGCATATATTCAGAGTCATATCAAGTATTTCGTTAAAATACCAAAAAATATATATATATGTAGTGATATACCTCCTAATTTTCTGCACTATGATACATCTACACAAACAAACCAAAAAAAAATTAATTTAAAAACAAGACAGAATAATCCCCAAAAATTCAAACTCATTAAAGACCCCAAACAACCTCCAGTTACATTTATAATCCATAAAAAATAAATAAAAAATAAAAAAGAAAAAAAATGGTATAAGTCTTTAATATCTCATCATCATCATCTTCTTCACTAACAAAAACACAATAATTATTATTAGCTTACAGGCTGCTGATGATTTCCATATCCATTCGACCCGTAACCCGATGCATCACCACCGCCATACATTCCCGCATCCTGGTTACCGTACCCATAACCACCACCACCGCCGCCGCCATAACCACCATAACCGCCGCCACCTTGCTTCCCCTGGTAGCTTCCACCCATGTTCTGCATCATGTAAAATTACTTATTTACCCTTCATATAATAAAAAAAAAAAAAAAGAGAGGGAGAATCAGAGATTTAATTTCATACCTGTCTGCCCGCGGGAGTTTTACCCCACGATATACGGACCGTCTGTTTTCCGATTACTGTCCCGTGCATGTTCTGAATTGCGTCCTCCGCGCTGCTTCTATATTATTATTACAAAATAAAATAATAAATAAATAAATAAATTTATAATATTAATTAAATTGTTGATTAATATATAACAAATAATAATAAATACCTGTTTGCGAATCTAACAAAACCACATCCTTTTCCTACAGGAATTTTAACGGATAAAATTTCACCACATTGAATAAAGGTTTGTCTTAAGTCTTCATCGTTGACTTCTGAGTCAAGTCCACCTACAAAGATCTATGAAAAAAATTACACGTCAGCAAAAACTGGTTCATGGAATTGGAATTGGAATTCGTGATTCCATTCCATCCATGTTTGATGGATTTCTCATATAGGTGGAAGGAATTACATTTTATTCTTTATTTTTGATTAAGAACCAATATACACTCTTGAATGTTATGAAATATATAATAATTTAAATTTTGTTTGGTTGGAAGGAATGGAATCATGAATGAACGGAATGCTACAAAGGGTAATAGAATGATATGTTTTTGTAGTTACTTTTCAAAAAAAGTTTGTAATTTAAATAATATTGTGAAATTATTAACAATGGGTTATGTTACAAATTTTCCTTTCAAAAAAAACACAAATGATAGGGAATAAAAAAAATTTTTAAAAATGGAAGGAGAATGGTGTATATTCCATTGTATCACGAATAAATAAAAGCTTTTATCATTACAATGGAATGAACGATTCCATTCCTTTCATTATTCCGACATACAATGGAATGAACATTCCATTCCATCTTTTTAGGTAGGACAAAGGAACCAACAAACTCACTGTTGTATTGGAAGAATCTTCATCAGACTGAGAGCTTTGAGACATGGCACCAAATCCACCTCCACCAGCCAATATCACAGCTACAAATTTCACAAAAATGAGTCTACACTCATCATACTTAATCAAGAAAATCAAACAAAACACAAGCAAGAATCAAGAAAACACACCTTGTGATGAATATTGTTGTTGTTGTTGTCCATATTGTTGTAAAGTAGATGCTTTCTTAGGAGTTGCAACACCAATTCTCATAGGTCGACTTGAACAATATTGACCATTCATTTCATTCATAGCTCTAGATCTTTCACTTTCATCACTAAACCTAACAAATCCATACCCTTTTGAACACCCAGTGTTTGTGTCAAAAACTACTTTTGCACCTTTCACTGATGGATATCTGCTTGCAAATGTTTCATTCAACATTGAATCAGTTACATCTGGAGCCAAATCTCCCACAAATATCGATAGATCTGAACCAGTGCTTTCTCCACGCTTTTCTCCTGTGCTAAAACTCGCCCAGTTTAACCGGAAAGCTTGATCGGTACTTGGCATCATGGTTCCATTGTAGGTCTGAAGGATTTTCTCAGCGGATGAATGAGAAAGAAACTCGATGAATCCATAACGTTCTGATTGACCAGTCTGTTTGTTTCGTATCAGTTTTATAGACTGAACCTGCAAATTAAATGAATATAGTGTCACGGACGTGGTGGGGAAGAGATTCGGAGTAATTGATAGCAGAAATTGATGTGGATCTTGAACATTGTTGAGTAAAAGTTGAAATTCATGACTAATTGAACTTGTAGACAAACATTAGAAGTACAATTCTTGCTCGAAATTGGATAAGGAATGTTTCGTACATGTTTTTTTTCTTAAATTGGTTACATTCCAAAGGTTAACAAGTAGGAGAAGTACGAATTGAGTGGATACAGATTGAAGATATAACAAAGAAGAAACAATAAGAAGGTGAAAAGACTAACCTCGCCGGTTTGCGAGAAGCATGACTGGAGATAAGCTTCGTCCATCCAGTGTTGTAGATCACCAACCCAGATCGTCTTATTATCTTCGCTAGAACTTTGAATCTGGTTACTTGTTTGCTGTTGTTGAGCCTGTTGTTGATACTGTTGTTGATGACCTTGTTGATAAGGATATGGCATATATGCTGTTGGCGGTGGTTGTTGGTACATCATCGCCGGGTGATGCATAGCCGCCGCCGCAGGGTACTGCTGCATCGCTAACCAATGTTGTTGGTATTGTTGCATCGCTAACCACTGCTGCTGCTGTTGTTGTTGCTGTTGCGGAGTCAAATCGGCGCCGTTGCCGGTGACGTTTCCGTTGCCGTTGGTTGACTGCATCTTGAGTACGTTGTGATGATTAAATATCTATCTCTTCTATTGTGATGTGATTAACCTCCGGGAAGTTCTTCGGTGGTGGATTGCGGCGCAGAGAGGATGAGGAGGTGGGAGACCTGGTGTAGGAGGCAAACCAGGGTTGTTTGAGGGAGGTGGAAAAAGAGTGGTCAAACAAGGCTCTCGAAGATTTAAATCATGGCGTTGAATTTACACTTACCCCCTTCATGATATTTGAGAATTACATTTCATCCCCATGTGCTGCAAGGTCTAAACGGTTTTTTAATAAAATGCAAAATTTCCAAAAGGTTTTTTTTTTATCAAGTAAGGATAGTTGGGTAGAATATGCTTGATTTTGTTTCTATGATTATAACATAACAACAACAATGGCAATGACAATGACAATAAGATAATCTCAAGTCTCATTAGAATAAGATAAGGGAAGAAGAGGTAAGACGATGAGCAGCCGAATAGCAACAATAATGCACAAAGCAAGCACTTGGCATAACATTCCGAGCAAATACTGCCACATACAACATACAGTGAGAATGAAAGCAAACGACTAACTCACAGGGATACAAGCACAAACAAAAGTTGTCCTAAAAGTTGAAAAGTTTACAGATATAAACAATATAAGCAAAATACCAAAAATAAAGCATGGAGCAAAACACTAGCCACAAAGTTGGAGAAAGTACTAGCGGATACAAACAGACAGTAAAATGCAACAAATTTCATATTTTGCATCGTGCAAATAAAGGCACACATGAAGGACCACTACATGTACAAACAAAAGGTTAAATTGTTTAAGTTCTTAGGATTATAACATAAAATGAAGTTAAATCAATAACCTTGGTTATACAAATTTACAAATTAAACTGTTCAAAATTTTGAAATTGGCAAAGGCAATTAAAGTTAATTTAGTTTCATTAGTTTGATAGTTTGGGTCAAGTCTATAAAATTTCAAGCACATAATATATTATCCATTTTGGACAATCCCACATAAGAACTTTCTACAGGTCAACCATTCAGGTACAACTTTCGTCTGTGTACCTTAAATTTTAAATTCTTATGTCATCTGATGCCCTCGTGGTTTTAAAACATGCCATGAAATGAAATGTATCTACACCGCTATAAGAATTGTCTTTTTCCCTTGTATTTATATATTTTTACTTTCATCCACCCATGAAAAAAAAAGTCAACATGTCAGCACAATCGGTTTGTGGCATGGCTATGTAATTTCTAACATCTTATGTATATTTACCGATATATTTTTTGTTTTATATAACCTATCATCAAAACCTTACGAGGTCAAAAATAGAGATATTCATTCAAATATCCATAATTTTAAAGCTTTTACGAGGTTAACTGATCTAATAAAAAACAAAAAGAGAAAAAAAGAAACATGTTTTATAGTCGGATGCTAATAGCAAAAATACTTTTTATAGTTTTAAAACAGACAGAAAAATTTAAGAAATCATGTTGTGCTTTATAAGGGAAATTTTTGGCCAATTAAAAAAGTTAGAGGACTATATTTAACAAAGCCAATTAGAAAAGAGGTGGTTTGGATCTGGGAAACATCGGCTCTGGTGCTGACGAGGATGGTTTACAGCCGTAGATTGGGCGGTGGTATTTGGCAATCAACCGTACTCAAGGAAAGACTTATGTGTGACTCGGTGAACGCTACTTTCAGTGGGGACCAATGATCGTAGATCTTGATCATAAAACTAATCCAAAAGCCAAATTGAGAGACGAGGATGACCGTTGATTATTAAAGCCGTCTAGATGAACGGTGGAGATTGAGTTCAAGTGGGAACAAGAGGAATAAGTCAGGTCAAAGTTTAGGGCTGTCTTGGAGCACGTAACATGTGATGAAATGGGCCTCCATGTCTCGTCTACCGCTGCATGGTACACCTAAAGTTGACCAAATAAATTACAAGTCAAAACCTATTCAAACGTTTTATGATTATCACATCTTCCTTCACTTTTTTCCTTCATCTCAACGCTAGGTTTATTCCTGGTCATTCTTCCTTCATTTTTCATTTCTCAAAGAGAATCGTCGAGCTTTCCCTTGTTATGCTAACAGAATTTACACCATACAAATAAGTAAGCAAAAGAGAAAAGAATAAAAGAGAGGGTCACCATGTTGGATTCCATGGTCGTCTTTGAAGGTGTACGAGGTGGGCGACCACACATGGCCCATGTCGTAGAGGGGACCATTTTTATATACTTCGTTATAGTAGACTAGTAATTCATGCCCGAAAACAAAATTGATTTCAAAGGTATTGTTATCAGACCAAAATCAGTCCTTCCCCCCCCCCCCCCCTCTCTGATTCTCGTCAATCCAAGTCGGAAGTCAGGACGACGCTAGTCTGTCTCTTAAACTTGCCAAGTCGCTGAGAGTGAGTTTGTTTGATTATTTATTAATTGATTGATTCAAAATCAATGCACCATCTAATTTAGAAATCGAAATTGTAACTTTCAAAATCCAAGACCATTCAATTTTAGAATTGCTTTTGGTTTCCGCCAAGAAAGAGGTTCCTATGAATTTTCTGACTGACCTGACAGAAGGAAGGTCAGCCTTTAGACCGATTGATGTTTTGATTTTTGGATGGGTTGGAGGGAAACATGCATGTGTGGACCTTACAGGGGTATCCCCTCTCGTAGGCTTGAGGGTCGGGGGTTTCACGGCGAGACAAGCTGCATTAAAAGCTGTTGCATGCAAGGTCACCAAACATGAGAAACCGTGCATGGAAAATCAACACGTGTTCATACCATTTGCATTTGATATGTTTGGTTTCCTTGCGCCGGATGCGGTGGAGCTTCAAAAGAATTGACTTTACCATACAAAAAGGCTTAGCGGCGCACATTGTTGCTCGTTTGCCTTATCATTCTTTGTATGATGATAAGTAAGATATATTAATAAAATATTAATCATAAAAAAATTACTAATTAATTGATGTTTCATTTTCAGAAAATCATAAATTATGATTTTCTGATAAATGTGATGCTCACATGTTGTGTTTCAATTTCAAGATCGATCAACTTCTGTTATGGCTTGTGTGTTTGATTGTTTTGGTTTCAAGCGATGACTTCTCTTAAAACAAGATTTGAATAATACAATAAGTATAAAAATAATTTTGGTTTTTTGCTTCCAATGAATTGAAGGAATTTGATGACAAAGATCTTAAATTGTGTTGTAGCCATCTTGAAGTCGCACTTAAGTATGGTGAACGATTAGATATTGACACCAATGAACTATATTTGAAGTTAAAGTTGTTGTCGAGTTCTTATCGATGTTTAAAAATATATGAAAAAGGTCAGTTCTTTTCCTAATACAATTAATACATATAGAGTTTTGTTCACTATTTTAGTAATTGTTATGTCTGTAGAAATAAATTTCTCAAAATTAAAGTTGTTAAAGTCTTATTTTCAGTTCACAATTTCACAAAAAATACGTAATGGCTTGGAAATGATAGTTATTTAGAACAATATATTTGGGATTATTGTTATGAAGAAATGATGAACAACTTTGCTTCTAAGGTTAATACGAAGACATCGCGATTCATGTAACTATGTAAGATTAGATTTTATATTACTTGTTTCATTTTATTGTTTTTCTAATTATTATTTGTTAGCCTAATACGATTTTGGGCTTTATTTTGTATTGGGTTTGATGATTGGGCTTTTTCGCTAGGAAACCCTAATTAGCTTGTCTATATATTATGTCTTTCCCTTTCATTGTATAGGTACTTCTCTATGATAATAATACGAAACTCTAGCCGTTATATGTCTTTCACTTGTTAGTTTACATGGTATCATAGCTCGGTTGATTATCTGCACTTTTTTGTTTTTGGGGGCGAGTTACTGTTCATCGGCACTGTTCACCGGCGTTACTGTGATGGGTTTAGAGCATAAAAACAATCCTATGTGTTCATGCAAAACCCTAAAGCTTGGATCTAGGTTTCTCTATTGAACATGCAATTCATCCAAGACTTATAAACCCTAGATCTAGCATACATATTTCGAAATTAACCTAATAGATCATATCTAGATGATTACCTTTCTTGAATGGCTTGAATCTTCTACTCTTTGGAGCTTAGTGTCACAAATGTCACACCTCTAATGGCTTACAAACACCAAAAGCAAGAGGATGATGTTTTAGGAGAGAGGGTGAGAGGAAAAAGTCGGCTCCAAGCTTCCAAGGGATCAAGTGGCCGTTTTGCTAGCCCTAGGGGTCCTTATATACTTGAGCTTCTAGGGTTTCAATCAAAACCCTAATTGGATGACTTAGGCCCTAAGTAACTTGAGAACCTTCTGGAATAAGGCCTCCTTGGACGAATTTAAGAAGGACTCCTCTTAATTTCGTCCATGCCCTAATCCATAAGGATTATCAGCCCAATGTATCACACAACTGACAGTTCTAGTCCCCTTTTAACAATTAATGTCTTTTAGCCACGAAATTAATTCTTAATTAATTCTCGTCTAATATTAATTAAACTATATGATTTCTCCTTTAATATATTATTCATATAATATATTAATACACCATAATAACCTCTCTTTCTCCACAAATCATCCTATCAAGTTGCTTTGGTGAAGGCAACCCAAAAGGACCATGCACAACCGGGTCAAGTACATACCAAATATAGTTACGGGCTTAGACACTAATCCAACAGTCTCCCACTTGGATAAGTCTAGTAACTATAGTGCAAGCACAATCCGATTAGCAATCGTAGCTCTCAAAGACGCTGTCGAACTCTGATCTTATCAGTAACCTGTCCTTTAGATAAGGAATTGTATAGTCCTCCATTCTAGATATCGTGCGGACAATTACATGGAACATAGTCATACTCATTGTGTAGCAGTTTGTTTCTCGATCTCTGATTCGTCTGACATAGAACTTTATTGAACACATCAATTCAGTCCTGACCGGGCCCGACACATAAGTCAAACCAAATCATCGAGGGGCCCAGATATCGCTTTTACCCTCTTAGGATAAAAGGAACGGATAAACTTCGACTTATATGCATTTACGATTCACTCATCGAATCACACACAACAATGCATTTTATAACATCAAGTTACTGATGCATTTACGCATTATCAATGCACAACCAACTCGCAAATAATAAACCATATATCTAGGTTTTAAGACCATATAATATTATCGTCTTGCGATCACTCGT